CCATTTTATCCTCTACAGACTGAATCATAGTCAGTTATCTTTTAGCTGTGAAGCTATATTTTAGTCTAAAAATTGTCAGAAATTATGAAAAACCCCTGTTTAAGTTTCCAATGGCGCAAGATGGCATGCTTTAATTTCCTTGACCAATAGTAGAAAACAGAAAGATAATCAGTTTATTATTATACGAAACTAAGAAAACCAGATAGTAAATACTGAAATATTTTTTTCTTTAAAAAATAATTACTGGCAATTTTGTCCATCGAATAAACAATTAATTGTTTCATCTTTAAACTTTAGCTATCATTGTAGCTCTACAGATAATGATGGTTTGTGTTATGGTTGGTTTAAAGGCAAATTTTGAGTTTGTTTATTACTTTGGTTTATGTTCAAACACTTGCAAAACTAGGAAATTCCTCACCTGGACTCATGCTATAGCTGCTTTGTGTTTTGTGCCAATTAGCAAATGTTAGCTTGTTACACACTCTTAAGATGCTAACCATAGTAAAAATACCACTTGTCATCAACATGTTAGCATTGTCATTCTGAGCATGTTAGTATGCTGATGTTAGCATTTGGCTCAAAGCACTGCTGCCATGGTTTCGGTAAATATGATACTTCTACTATTTTTGTTGTTTTGTTGTACTACCAGGGGCACTGCCCTCAGGAAAGGATGAATGTCGACTGGATGTTTGAATGCGGTGTAATTCTTGTGAACTGTGGTTTGGGGAAAAAGGCTTCAGAGATCTGCACCTCTACTGGGCACCGGTGGACCCCCTTGCATAGGAGGAGACAAGGCAGCCACAGCCTGCCTATGGCATAACAGGAGGTGAAAGCCTGGGTGGTGGAGCAGGACCGGCAGGCACAAACCCTCAAAAAATGGTGGAGAAGATGAGCCAGCAATGGAGCAGAAAACGATGTGCCGCGGAAGGGCAAACAGATGAACATAACGATGTGTATAACCACCTGGACGGTGGGCGATCTGCTTTATATGGAAAAGCGGAAGTAGAAGACTAGTTTGAATGGGTGGATTAAATGTAATGAGGACCAGAAGCGGCATGTGTTGGGACATGGTCCCTGTTCAGATCAACATCTCCATTATATTTCTACACACTTTTACCATTGCAACCAAAGGTTACTCTCTATAAATGCAGTCATTGTAGAATTTAAAAGTCCTTGTAACCTACCACAGAGACATATTAGTATTAACATACTGGAAATTCTGGATTCATGTCTGTGTGCTTCATAAGTGCTCTCTACTCTGAGCAGTTACTCCCATACTATTCTAACATATAAAGCCTTTATTGTATTAAAATCAGACCTGTGCCTCAACAAAATTTTTAATCCACTAACATCCATCAGTTTTTATAAAAATAGCAGCCTTGTTCATAGAGCTATGGATTATCAGACACTGTGTATGAGAATGTCCAGCTCACACATTCTCAGCTACACTACTCCATAATCTTATTGTATATAATAGAAGGATCTCCATTCAGATTGTCCAATTCACCATGTGTATTGCGTAAAATTCTGTAGAACACAGTGCTGTGGTTTTGGAGCTGAGATAGTAGCTCCTGTGTTCTCACTATATCTGGATGTTTTTGTTTAGATTTTAAAGCTTTGTTTTTGTTGCATGCTGCTGAGGAAAAAAACTCCAAATGGGTCAAGAAAAAAAACACTCATTGTTTTATTTAAGTCTAAAATCCTTTTCTGTAAAGCTGAACATTATAATAAATTGAAAACTCTAGCGTATTCTGATGCTCACTGTGTTTTTCTCAGTTGAACACATGTCCAACTATAACACAGCTGAAGTGGATCACATAAAGAAAACTTATATCATTAAGCATCTAGATGTTTTTTTTTTTCATTTTGACATGTAGAATGTCAATTCTACAGCACCATAACATCTGCTTATTCGTTTAGCAGCCTTTTCCGATTAAAAAAAAAGATATGCTACAGTGGTGTGATTGTAATCTTTGATCCACGTGGTTTTAATCCTTATAAATATTGAATATTTGATGACTTTCTCATTGATGGAGCATGACACCTGGGCGGCCTGCCCTCTGCTAATTGTATGTACCCACAGGAGGGGGTTGCTTCTGACAGCGGCCTTTATTGCGGGGAAGCATCTGAGCCAGCAGGACTGACACGACAGTGAACGCAAACACTGATGTATGTGCTGCATGATCCAGTCATATTTTATCTTTGATGAGGGGCTGTTTCTATAAATCAAACCACCACAGACATGGAAAATGAACAGCAGAGGATGAACTAATTGAAAGAATACTTGTGTATATTAAGTAAGTGTGAGTGCAAGTGTGGTGTTGTATGTGTTTTTCCTTTTACAATCTGACTGCTGCTTGCCTAGCAGGGACTGTAATGATGGTCGTCAGCACTGGCTGGTTGCTAGGTAACAATTACCTGACTGTGCTTTGCTTGCACTGAATAACACAGTGCGTTGTATGTGTGTGTGTGTGTGTGTGTGTGTGTGTGTGTGTGTGTAGAGGAACGGAAAAATACAGCAAACTAGACTACCAAGCAGTATTTCCATTTCTGGACAGAAAATGCCCCATACCAAAATCACGTTCTTGGATACAATAATATTAGCCTAGCTGTGTTTCTAAATGTGATTTACACTGTGTGTGTCAAATTGATCGCATTACATTTAATATTTGTTTTGTGGTATGGTGTGTTGTATCACATGCTTTGGTATTTATAGTCACGTCCATGAGGGGAGGAAGCTGGTGTTAACAAATGATGATGTCACCACAGGGCCACACCTCACAGAAGATGATAGACACTCCTCTGCTTTAAGATCATTTTCACTTTCTCAGCTTCTCACATGCTTTTGATTTCTGTCTGTCCTGTCCCCAGTATATTGTCCCTCAGTAGTCCTTCCTCTCAGGCTGCAAGCACCTTTCGTCTCTGTCCTGCCTTGTTTAGTGAGATTAAATTCCAAGTCTTCCAATGTTGTTTGTCCAAACGTTTCATAGTCCCATTAGGTTTAGGCAGAAACCTCCTCCTAACCTGGCCTTTGTCGCTCTGTATACAGTGTAACTTAATGTTCTCCTTTGCTTGTGTCATAATTTCTACAGACACAATAATGGTGCTGTTGTTCGTAATAACTTGCTTGCACAAGGTTAATCACCTTTATTTGGGGTTCAGTGTCTTGCCCAAGGACACTTCAACACGTGGACTGCAGGCACCAAGATTCGAACCTCCAACCCTCCGGTTGGGAGATGACTGCTCTGCCCACTGAACCACAGTCACCCCACAAACGAAATATGGAGAGTCTCCCCCAGTCCCAGCTCTACACCGAAAGGAATAGTTTGACATTTTGGTGAAATGTTCTTATTTGCTTTGATAGATGCGAAGATTAATAGCTACTACACTCATGTCTGTCCAGTAAATATGAAAGTGAAACCACATGCCAGTTAGCTTAGCTAGTTAGCTTAGAGACTGAAACTTAGCTGGCTACTTTTGGGCAACTGGGCCTGTTAACGTTTTTACACATAGTTTTTTGTGTGGATTAAACAAACAAGACATGACATATCAATTACTGAGATATAGAGGTGCTGGCAGATGGATTTTGTTACCAAGTTAGCAGTCTCCCTTGTTTCCTGCTTGGCTAAGCTAATTGGCTTAACCGGTTGAAAACTTGTATTTATTTTCACATCTAACTATCCTCAGACAAGCATAGTTCAGTACTGTCTTTAAACCTTCTACATTATAAAGTAAGCCTTCAGTTGGTAGGCATTGCAGGGAACATTAAAAATATAAACATTGGAATTTTAATCCTGTCCCCCCATATTAATTTTTCACTTATCAATTTGAAAATATTGTTTATGTCAACAGTTTTTATGTCAAAATACCCTCTGTTCTTTGCTTGTAATTTTTTTGACTCATCCCCTGTCTTTTTAACTTTATCCGTCATATACAACCACACTTCAATGTGAGGCAGAGTGATATCATGGTTGACTCAGTCTCATTTGGCAAAAATTTTTACTTTTCCAAAGAATGTAGTTGGAGTGGGTCAAACCACCAAGCTGCTCCTTTTTAATCAAATCTTAAGAATGTAATCACATTTTTCTTCTAATTGTAACTTGCCCACATATTCTGTTTCAGCTGTAGTAAGTCACATTACAAGCTAAAGGCACTTAAACTGCAGGTCAATATATAATTCCTATTAATTCTAAAGTAAATTGTCTACCCAGCCAGCACTCTGACCCTGTCATCTTGAAGCACAGAGCCAGGCAAAATTCTTCTGCTGAGAATTTGTAATCAGAGGCCAAGATGAGACCATGGCACCTCCCCCATGCAATGCTTGCCAGCTCTCCCAGACATGCATGATATATTTGGAGATCATTAAATGGTCCTAAATGAGAGCCTGGCGTGAGAGTGAGCTCTGACCATCTGGCCCCATTGTGGGCGCCGGAGCACTGTTCAAACTCCATCCAGCAGCATCAGCTGCTCTGATTGGATGGATGCTAAGCAAGCATGGGCATTGTAGCCAATTACAAACTCTTTTAATCAATTACCCAGACCCGCCTTAGTCTCTGTGTTTATTTCTAAATTAATCATCCTGTTAGATTCCGTGTTTCTCTGCTCTACTCAGACTGCTGATGAGGTTTATTTCTTTGCAGTTGCCTCCCTACGAAAAGATGGAATAAATGAAATCCACACTAGCGATGATAATGTCACTCAGTCTGTGGTCGGCCCACCACTTTGGTCCAGGGTAAAATAATCAAAAACCATTGAATGGATTAGCATGAAACTTTGCACAGACATTTATGGTGCCCAGAAGGTGGTTTCTAATGGCTTTGGTGATTCTCTGACTTGGTGAAATTTCTCAAAAGCAATTTGAGGGATTGTAGTGAAATTTGGTACAGGTATTAATGTAATGTAGTGGCCTTTCAAGAACTTAGTTTTGGTCAAATAACTGTATGGAAAGGGAGAGCTCCAGGTTTTGTTTTGAATTGTTTCTGTATGTCTGCTGTTTCCAGGTCACAAGCTCAACAAGGACCTGAAGCACTATCTGAGCTTGAGGTTTCAGAAGTCTTCCCCCGACCACGAGCTGCAGAAGGTCATCCGAGCCAATCTGTATCGCCATGCTGTGCCTTGTGAGTAAAAATATTAGTCTTTATGATAATGTGATGATGGCTACATCTAGTTAGAAATATTGTTCGTCATCATCTTCTGATCTTTACTACAATGACTAACTGTCTTTTGGTATTTGTCTCATTTGTTTCATTGTCTATTAATCTGATTCACCCTTTCCAATCATGCATAAATTATTCTGTTAAGCTTTATTTCCTTCTCATCATTTAAACCCAGCAAATGAACCAACAAATGAACAGAGAAATGCCATCAAACACCATCACTGTTGCTATACAGGAGATTTTGTATTACTGCCAATTAAAGACAGTTGCATCTTCACTGTTCCAGAGCACCATTTTTGCAGCTGTCTGTGAAATACACAAAAAGTGTGGCTTGAGCCAAACATTCCGGCTCTGTGCCAGACTCCACAGCTGGGTTTGGTTATGTCACAGACAGTTGGATCTGTGGTTGGGTGGCAAAGTCCAGCTCTGCTCACTTCACTTCCTTACTGTACACATGTCATGTTTGTGTTTCAAGAATCCTTTGCTTGAGTTGTGATGACCACAAAGCTTGAGGTTCATAGTGTTAAAACAAAGCAGCACAGTGCATCTATTGGTGATTAGAAAGTATGTAGAATGTGTGTGTATTTTCCCCTCTTGCAGATTTGATTTGATTATCAAACATATGCATATGTACAAGGATCATCCTTCTCTTCAAACACTGCTTCCACCTATTTCAATGGACTGGAGCTTGGCTGTTTGTGGTCATTTGTATATGTTTGCATTGCAGTGCTACTTGATAAAATGTGGCTTCTCGGCTAGATTAATTTGTTTTCCCCTCTTCTTTGCTTTCTCACTCTATTTCACAATCTATTACTGCCTGTCCTTCCCTTGCGCTCAGTCATGTGACTGGTAAATCTGCCTCTCAGAGCCTCCTCCTGCCTCACTGCCCTGCCTGGGATTACGATGCTCTGATATATTGAAAATAGATTCCTGCCTGATTATGTGATGAATATGCTGGGATCTCACAGAGATCACAGGATGCTGGAAAGTGTGCAGAGGACAGACAGCACTGACATTAAAACTGAACACAGACAAAATAAAAGTGCTAAATGTGCTTTTTCCTGAGATGGTATTGTAAAGCAGTCTGAGGGGTCACCAGATTATTAAAGGGATTTATATCTTGTTTTTACTTTTCATTTATTTTTTATTTTTTCAGACTAATACTGGATAGATTAAACTCCAAAGCCATTCAAATTCTTTAAGAACTACATACTAAAACTTACATACCGGATATCTTCTTCTTCTAAAAGCAATGTCTAGACTAGGATGCTGATTTAGACATTGCTGTCAAGAGAAGCAGTGAAAGTTGAGTTGTCTTGAACAGTAACAGGATAATCCCTGAGCCACCACACATCTGCTGCTTTCACTGTGTTTAGAGGATGGATAATCATTATAGCAGAGTCGGTTTATCTTTAGTGGACTGGTATAAGCCATTAGATCGGAAAGATAAAAGCTTCAAATCAACAAGGTCATTGGAATCAAATTTTCTGAGCAGGTAAAGTTAAATTGGAGGTAAATTCAGAGATGTAATATTATAGGAGTCATTTATGTCAGTTTTACTACAGAACCAAGGTTCACCAAGAAATAAGCTACCTTCATATTACAGGCTTTAGCGCAAGTCCAATCTTTTTGTGTTGATAGTTCTTTTTACAGGACATTTTATACATATGATGGTATGCTGCGTATTTTGTGACAGTTTTCTAAAATTAGATTTAAAAAAATCAAAATATATCGCCTTGTTTACAGTATCGCAATATATCACAATATATGGGATCGTAACCCCTGTATCGTGATACGTAACATATCACCAGATTCTTGCCAATACACAGCCCTACCTAATAGAGATTGACTTATACCACTTTCCCACCAAAAATACCATGTATACATGGGTTTTTTATACGCGGCTAAACCCAGTTTTAACTGGCTTCTGATGGCATTCCCACTGCCGACTGACCCGGTTTGGGTGTCGAGCAGACGAGTTTGTTTCCACTCTGGTATGTCATATTTGACATCATCACGTTGGTGATGTCAGACACATACGCCAGTACTTTTGTTCATCTAACAAAGCATAGAAACTTGGCATAGACTGATCCATGTTAGAGCACTGATTGAACAAAGATGGATGGAATTCATTGCTGAGATGGCTGATGACGATGTGCACGTCATTTTCTGTGTTAGCTGGTTTAGCCAGGTTTTGCTTTCCCATTTCTAAGCTGAGGTGTGCCAAGGCAAAGTGGATAACGACACGTCTCGATTGCAGAGTCATTTGTCCCAACAGTTGCATTCCCACTGCTGCCAAAAGCCGAGGTGTGGTGAGTTTACACAGGTTTTTTGGGCAGTGGGAAAGGGGCTTTAGTGTCCACGTTCATGGTGATGCGTGAACATGTCATCCAGTGAGACAGTATGGCACACTGATGTGTTTTTATTTTGGACAACAATGGAGGTGCACAGAAGTGACATTTGAAAGACTTTGGCTACACAGATAATACTTATTAACATGGCATCAACTGATTGTTGGATTTGTCTTTTTTTATGGGATTTATTGACAGTAATAAAAATTTCCCCGGGCTTATCCTGTATGATTCTCAATAATCCTTTAAAGTAATTAGACAACAGTTGTGGATATGTTGACTGTGTATTTCTCAGACACTTTTCAAAAAACTGAAAAGGCCAAATTGGGCCACAACACAATGCTGGCCAGTTTATCAGTGAAATGTTTATAGCCGTCCTCTCTTGCTTTCTTTCTTCCTGTTCCTCCCTTTCTCCCTTTCTTGGTGACCTACTATCGCTGCCACCTCCTGTTTATTGTCTGTCTCCCTCTCACACATACACATGCAAATGTTTTCTCGGCATGACACGGCAGAATGACAAAAGCAGTCAAATAAAAGCCACACTTCTCAGGCCTCTGTTTCCTTTGTCTCTGTGTCTGTCATGTCTCCTCCCCCTCTCCTGAGCTTGTGTTTCATCCTCTCCCTATGTTTGACTCGAACAGGTGCCTTTCCCTCCACCACTGGCCGAGGTGGGTTTTTTTTCTTTTGGGCGTGTGTGCATGTGCATGTGTGTGTAAATGTGTATTTTTAGGAAGATCACTTCCCCCTTTAACCCACCCTTCTTCCCTCTCCTTCGTAGCCCTGCTGCTACAGATGGCCATTATTATCATGTGCAGCAAATGTCATAATTGATAGATAAGTTGCTCTCTCGTGGGATTCATTTCCCTCTCACATCTACAGCTGCAGCTTGGGGATGAGGGTTATCTCAGCGTTATCCCGGCATTTGAGCCACAGAGCGAACCAATCCTCCCTCCCCCCACCTGATCTCTCCCTCCCGCTTCCTCTCTCTCTCTCTCTCTGCTCTCTCTGTCGTTCTCCTCTTTTCACTTCAAATCCTCCAGCGAGTGTCAGCGTCCCTGTGGCTTGGCGGTGGCTGTTGCCTTCTTCTGTCTTTCTCTGTCACACTAACTGCTCCCACTGTCTCTCTACCCCTGCTGCTCTCACCCTCCATCTCCTCCTCTCTGTGTCTCTCTCTTTCTCCCTCCCCTCCTTGCTGTCCTTCATTCCCTTGCTTCCTTGTTTTCCAATCCACTGCTGATCTTGGGGAAATCATTGTTGGAGACAAATTTCTCTGTTTGACGCTCACACAAAGAAAAGGATTAAGGCTTGATTCGCTGGCTCTGGACTCGTTCTGCATCCAGGCAAGTGACAGCTCCTTATTCTCTCCTCATTCTTTCCTTCTTCTTTTTTACACTCTCACCGCTATCCGCCATCTGAAGCCTGTGATGTATGCATGGCTTAGAGTGTGTGTGGTTGATGCTGTGTATATAGGCTAAGGGAATCAGGGAAGGTGGGGGTATGGGTGGGAATTATGTGAGGGCAAGAGAGGGGCAGGTACACTTTGGGCAAGGGACAGATGGCCAGTAGCCCTGGTGCTTTTTCTTCTTTGGTTTTCTAATTCACCCCGCGGGCTTTGTGTAAGGCCCACTAGTACACAGACCTTCTTTTCAAAAAGGAAGAGATGGCTGCTCTCCTTAGCTAAAAGAGGGAGGGAGGGAGTGTATCTGTGTGTGAAGAACGGACAGGGTATAGGAAAGGAGAGGAAGGGGAAGAAAAAGAAGAGGGGGGAAGGTTGCTGTAGCAGCAGAGCAGGTTTTAGGAGGTTAGGAGAGGAGAGGAGAAGAGATGAGGAGCTAAGAGGGAGCGGAAAAGGGGGGTCATTAGCCTCAAATGCATGGAGGTCAGGTCCAGATGCTGCTCAAACAAAAGGGCTTCTTTGGGGGAACGGCAGGGGGAAGCATGGCACTCGCCATTGTGTGTGTCGCTGCATTGCAGGGTGCTGCCAGGGAGCCTCATGCTAATGATGGCCATTCATTCTTGTAACGGATGAGTGGGCCCCAGCTTCTGTTTGCCTGCTTTTCACATACGCACAGTTTAGAGTTTGCTCATGTGACCAAATGCCTGCTACGTTAACATGACAGCGCTCTGAAAACGACAAGGGATGGAAAAATGATGGCTTCAGAGTTCATTGAGGAAGCTGGGCAAATGTGTGTTTTTGCATAGTAATGATTTATGAAGAGAGGTGCACGGTGTGTGTGTGTGTGTGTGTGTGTGTGTGTGTGTGTGTGTGTGAGGTTTATGTTTAATGCATGTGTTGTCATATTTGGCTTATTTGTTACCATTAAAATGAATCGCACAGGCTGCCACATACAGGCCAGATGAACTGCAGCTCTTCCTTCTTGTTTTATCGTCAGTGTGATTGGCAAGTGGATGGAAGGTGGAACTGGAGGCTGTGGTCTCTGACGTCGTCTTTGTTATTGACAATCTCCTCCAGGCCCTTTTAAAGACATCTTATGGTACATTATCCAGAGGAAACCACTGCAACAACACAACCTCAGTTTCTGCACTTGCAGTTTAGAACAGGCTGTACCCTGAGCCTAGTCTTACATTAACTTAATCAACACTGATGAG